AGGCCGTGGCAAGGAGAAGTGGAAGGATTGGCGAGACAGTTCAGAAACTTGGGTCTAGGGTCTAGGGTCTAGGGTTTAGGGTTTAGGGTTTAGGGTTTAGGGTTTAGGAATCGAGGTTGAAGGTTGACGTATAGTGTTCCTTCTTGCCTCCACAAGCTGTTCCGCAAGGTTTGGTATTGTGACGCATTTCAGCAGGAGAAGGGGCAATCGAGGAATACCGTAAAAACATAACCATTGCAGAATCCTCCTAAAATAAATGTGAGATTCGTGGTGCCCTAGGAAGAAACTCTCATTCATCGCAGCGTCCACGATGAATCCGAACAGTGCTAACGCAACAGTCAGAGCAAACGCTAACCTGATTAACACCGGTTCACACTGCCCTTCCTTCCTACTCATAATGAGAACCCTCAATCCGAAACCCTAAACCCTGAACCCCCATCCTTAAAGCGCCGCCTCAACTCTCAACCCTAGAACCTTCAAGCCTCAACCTTGATCCCCAAGAGCTCTTAACCCTCAACCCCAAAGAAACCCTCAACCCTCAACTCTAAACCCTAAACCCTGAACCCTCAACTCTAAACCCTGAACCAGGCCTGGTTATCCCCGTTCTTCGCTTCGCCACCACAGCTGCCGTCGAATGTGAGTTGAGCCAAAACCGGAAAGAGCAGAGAAGAGACGAAACAGTCCCAGAACCAAGAGCTCCAGGGCTTTAGGGTAGTTTAGGATCAGGGTTTAGGGTTTAGGGTTTAGGTTTTAGGGTTTAGGGTTTAGGGTTTAGGATCAAGGTTTCGGGTTTAGGGTTTCGGGTGTGGGGTTCTGGGCTTTGGGTATAGCGTTTCGGGCTTAGTGGTGTGACCCAGGGTTTCGGCCTTAGGTCAGAAAGCTTCTGCAAAAGGATGGTTCGCCACCTGTGGGATTTGGGGTGTGTGGTGAGGTGTAGCAGTTGAAGCTAAGGCTTATAGGTCTTGCAGTATATGGGTAATTTTCTAAATTAGGGTCGCATCTTAGGTCCCTAATATAGTACGGCACCCTTATACAAAGGATCCTAAAAGGAACACTAGTTTGGAGAACTGCCCATATGGTTCGTGGCTTAAGGTTCAAAGTGGTCGAAAGGTTCGGGGTCGTGGATTTAAGGCTCGGGATTCAGGGTGTGGGGCGAAGGGCCAGGGCGCAGGTCGACGGAGTGTAGCCCCTACTTGGAGGTTCATGGGTACTTGTAAGTAGGGTTATAAGTAGGGTAACTTTAGCTATAACCTATATTAGGGGACTTCTAACTCCACTTATTACTACCCATGAACCTCCAAGTAGGACCCTATAGAGTCGGCACCCGGAGGATTAGAGAGGTCCCTGTGGTACCTCACGTCACAAAGCCTAAAGCCGCACACGCTGCAGAGTCTGCACACCTGCGGGAAAGAGTCCACACAGCCTGGAGAAATGCGAAACACCCAGGTATGGGACTCCGGCTGAGCGCGGTTGAAATCCCGCCCACCCCCCGCCCACTCTTTTCCTATATGCAGACCTTAGCAGCAGCTGCGTCGAGCTTAGACTCAGGGCAAAGACTTTGCAGCTTTCTGTCAGACCACGACCTCCTCTGGTTTCGTGCCATTTGCAAGGATACTGGTCGGTACAACCCCCTTGCGTGGGAAGTCTTCGTGAGGCGCATCAGCTGGACAATCGGCAGCACCATGGTGGCACCTGTGGGTGTTCTTGCCAACTTATCTAATGTCCTGGTGGTTTTGGATGTGGGGTTTAGGGGGCTTAGGGTTTATGCAAGCAGTCGCTGCGAACGATCCGGGCGACGCTTGGGACTAGGGTTCTGAGGGGGATTGGGTGCATAGAATTTGTAGATTAGGGCCGGGCCGAGGCTTCGAATGCTCCCTTAAGGTTCAGGCTTCAGGATTTAGGGATTGAGGATTAAGGTCAAGCTCCATCAACTTATCGTGAAAGAGGCACACATCTCTCAAAGGTCGTGAAAACTGGCGCATACAACTCTACACCTGTAGACCCTAAACCCTAAACCCTAAACCCTAAACCCTAAACCCTAAGCTTTCTGTAGCCATCCCTCGGGCTCAAGGCAATCCAAAACCCTCAGATGGGCTCTAGCTTTAGGGGTGTGGTCCTGGATTCTTGCCTCAGAAACGAGTTTCGGATGAAACGGTCTGTTCATGTGATGATGCCCTATAATGCTCTGCTCTTGTGTAGGCCCATGTGCATAAACTCTATAGGAATCCTGGAAAAAGCCGCAGGGATCCCTGCCTGATGACCTGATATGCGGGGCATGTGGACCACGGCCAGATGTCAACTTTACAAGCCTTGTCACCGACACAGTCGAAGGTGTCGTGCCCTGTTCCTTAGGGCTTATGTGGTTTAGGGTTTCGGGTCTAGTTCAAGGCTTCGGGATCTGGGGTAGGCTTCGGAGTTCTGGGCTCCGGGAGTTCAAGTTGTAGGTTTCTGCATGCCCCGTGTTCCTTGCTGGTCGTCAGGCAGGTCGGACTCACCCACGATGTCGACGCCATGATGGTGCTTGAGAACTTCTTGGCACCAGCATGTTGGGGATGTCTTCTCATGCTTCGTGTAAGCCAGGACCTCGCAATCGGAGTTGGTCCGCGAAGCCCCAGCACGGCACCAGACCCTTCCACTGCCCGCATCGAAGGCATGTGATCCACAGGCTGTGGTGCATGGCTCTTTGCCTGGTACGGTAGTGTACCCGATGTTGTAAACCCTATCGACAAAGCAACTACACTTTCCCAGAGAACATATCCCGTTGCCGGAGCAGTTCCCGCGGCAGACAGGATAGCATCGTCCATCTTTCTCCTTGTAAGCACCTTGGACTTGGCACTCACAAGAGCCATTGGAAAAGTCGCAAAGACCGTACCCGTTGCACACTCCCAGGGAATCAGTGCCTGGGCAGCGACTGAAATACATCTCCAGGATCTGCTTGAACTCAATGGACTCTGGAATGAAATCTTCCACGGAGCCTAACAGAGTCCTGACCGGCGCAGGCTTCCCCTTCACGGTGCGCAGCCAGTCTTGATAATTGGACTGCGTCTGGTCACCGCCCACTGCATGGAACACTACGTCAGACGTGTAAGAGGCAAACTCATCCATCTGTTGCTGTGTGTGGCTTTCGTTGTATCGGACATCTGCACCGATCTTCTTGTTGAACATTGCACCCAGGAAGAAACCCCAGCTACTTTGTCGTATGACTTTTGATGAGCGAACTTCGGAACTCACAAATGCAGACATCCTCATCGTGCCACCATACCCAACTTCCTTGACGTAGTGCGTTCCATGCTTCTCAAAAAATTGGAACCATTGGGCATATTCGGCATCACTCTTGGGAGATCGGGGCAAGTCCTTCACGGCATCCTGGAAGCTTGAAGCTGCGGCCCTCCATGCATCGGAAGATAGCGACTGGGAATGCGTGATGTACCGGCGCTTGATAAGCGAGTAGTACTTCTGGGAGTTGTAAACATCCATGGTCTGAGCGAGAGAGCGGAAGTTTGCACCTCCTCAGAACGCGACGTGACCACCTGGAAACTGCTCCAGATTCGGGTTCTTCCGTTCCGGGAAGTTCTTTACTTTGCTATTGGGCTCGTAGTGGGGGCACCGGGGACATTTAGTGCAGGACAACCCCACCTCCGGCGGGAAGCTTCCCTGAGAGCCCGAGGTCGTTTGCTGTAGATGTGGAGACCTCGGAAATCTCAGTGTTTACGCTGACCTGGTCTTCTCCATCCATCCTTTCTGTATTGTCTGTGACGATGCGATCGCTCATAACGCGGAAGAGGTATGCTGGGGCATAGGAACCTTCTGTGAAGAGGGGCATCTGAACAGGGTTGCAAGATGAACCAGTTAGAACATTGCACTGCCCCCCAAGGTAGGGCGCATGATCCTCAGGAGGTTTTCGAGGATCGTTGCCACAACCGGACAGGAGCAGGGTCATCATGGCGCACACAGTCCCGGCAAAGCATCTGTTCATCGGGCAAAACAAGTTCCCAGCAGGAAACCGTCGGGCGACGGCCACTGCACAGTAGCCTAAAGCAATTGAGCCCGACGCATGCTGTGGAGGAGGATCATGTTGTGTCTGAGCTGTTGCAAAGATTCCGTGTTGCCTTCCTGCCTCTGGACAATTATACATCGCCATGCTTTGGATTTTTCAAGGACGGCAGAACGGCAAAAACCACCAAAAATGCCGGCCTGCCGTATACACTAGCAACGCGACATCGACGAGCATGAGCTAATTTAGGTCTACGATCTGCTTAGACTACTGGCACCATCATGACTACTGCGCCTTTGGTTCCGACCGCCACTTCCACTACCTCTAAGATTTACTTTTGCTTTTGCTTATATTTACGCTAAGACCATCTAATTTTAATGACTTTGAAATATTCCTCGGCCTTAAGTTTGTAAAATCCTTAAATTGTTGTAAAACCCTTAAAATTTAATTGGCCGCCCAATTACATTTTAAAGATGTTAAGGGTTTTGATTTAGAGATTTTGAAATCCCAGCCTCCGGCCTCCAGCCCAGCCCCGCCAATTAAATTTTTCAAAATCCTTAAACTTTTTAAAACCCTTAAAATCTAATTGGCCACCCAATGAAAATTTAAGGAGTTAAAACATTTAGTGGCCCTTTAATTTGTTTTGAACCCTTGAAATTTAATTGGCCGCCAAATCAAATGTTACAGATTGTACCAAAAAATTTCGTGGCCTTTAAGTTTTTGAAAAACCTTGAAATTTAATCGGCCGCCCAATCAAATTTTAAAATGTTTTAAAACAAAAAACTGTGGCCCTTAAGTTTTTTCATCCTTGAAATTTAATTGGCCGCCCAATTTCTCCCACCCCACCACTCCCCCACCCCCCACCCCACCCCCGCGCCCTCCCCGACCCCACCACACCCGCAGGGAACATCAGGAGGAGAGCAAGATCTGTGGATTTGTAGCTTACTAAGTTAGGGATTTCATGACGGAAATCAGAAACTTAAAAGAATAGCTTATACAACACGTTATAGCACACCTCTCTAAATACCGTGAAACAGTTTCTAGAATACCCTGCAGAATACCTACCTCATAGACTCATAGAATACCTTCTTTCTACCTCAGGAATGTTTTTTTGAATACCTTTTTGCTTCTTGAAAGCCTTACGCTATACTTCTAGAAAAGCACCCATAAATGCTTTCTCGAATACCGTATAGGAAGCCCCATAGAATGCCCTTGAGAATGTCTTATAGAATAATTTGCAGAACACTTATATGATACCCCTATATACCTTGTATATGTTGTAGACTACCATCTGAAATACGCTGTGGAATATGTTCTATAGAGTATTCCAGGTCACACCCTCTGAGGCAAATACAAGGCATAGATACAGGGTATGATATTAGGCATTCTATGAGCATTTTGCGGGGATTCCAGAACTCCACAAAAAAGGAATGTCGGGTATAGGTGGCATTCTAGAAGGTATTTAGAATCGAGGCTATAGGGTGTTCACTATAAGGTGTATAGATATACATACAAACGCAATAACACGGTGCTTTGTTCGGTATTGTTTAGGGTAGTCTAGAGGAAGCTGTGAAACTCTTCAAGGCATATATCAGGGGTATTCCGCCAGGTATACAAGGCTAGTCTCCTAGATGTTTAATTTCCTTCATAGAAATCCCTAACTCAGTAGGTCACAAAATGGATTGGTGAATTCCTCAAATCTTATGGTTCTCTGGATTTTCCCTATATAAATCCTTATGTACAGGGTGTGTTCTAAGGGTATGTTGTAGTTGGGTTTCGCATACAAGGGGTCTTCTTACAAGGACGTTGTAAAATACTCCCTATATGTGATTGCCCTTGTTTGCCTTATATACACCTTGTAAATACCGATGAATTCATAGAGGGAAAATCAGGCGGATCCCAGCATCTGAGAACTCCACAATTGAATTGCAGCTTGTTGAGTAAGGGATATATATATATATATATATTTATTTATTTATTTATGTATAAAGGCAAGCAGGAATCTAGGAGAATGGCCTCTGGAATACTTAACTGAATAACCCTTCCACAGACTTTCAAGAATTTCATTCAGACTTCCCTAGGTAGCATCATTCAGAGTAACTCTTTTCTACCTTGTATATACCTTATCGAATACCCCAGAGCCGATAGAAGACCTTTTAGAACACCACGTATATATAACCTATGGACTGCTCTATGGAATCCCTTCTACAATGCCCTACAAAATACCCTGTAGAATGCACTTTAGAATGCACTGTAGATTTTTTCAATCATACTCCCTTGTACACCGTATATATGTCTGATAGAGAGCCATCTGGAATACGCTATGGAGTACCGTTTAGAGTACCCTATATGGTACTCCTGTCTACGTTATATATATATATATATAGATACACCCACCCAGAGCTTCCAAAAATGTTTAAATAAGTTTTTGATATCTTCGGTCATCTTGATTAAGCCACATAGTGTCTATTTAATTATGGTATATTAAGTACCAAAACAATGCTTAATTAAGCATTGTTAAATACTGTATATGGCTCCGCATGCGGACGATCGACTGCACGTGTTTTTTTCGCCTCCCAATCACGCGCCGACTCGAGGAACTTTGTTAGCTG